TTTCAATACAACTGGAGTTACATGGTAATCTGTCTTCATTATTTGTTGGTTTTGTTTTGTTTTCCTATTTGTTTTGTTTATTACTGTATTTACTGTATTTTTTAAAGTCCTGTAATTTTTTTTGTTATGGGTAATAACAAATATTTATCAAAAAAAAAACACTACCTTGATCAGTGGTATTACTCGAGTATTGCTTTGCATTTACGGTGAACAGTAGACTTTTCTTGCAATACGATTATGGGGGCAGAAATATGTACAATAAGAAATTTATAGAAAGACTAATTTGAAAATATCGTTATATTAATATATATGTATATATCATAGAACACCCATATATGTAATTTACATTAATTTGAATAATATGATTTAATAAACTAATACATTAATTGTGTGAAAAAAAATTCATAATATTTAGATCGCTGTGGTAATTATAAAACGATTAGGTGTCAGTGACGAGTGTCAGCGAGACATGCGCACCAGACTATACACTGGCGAACCCTTCTTGAAAGAAAGTGCTCCAATTACATGCCCAAATATATATTAATGGTCGTATCATTTCATATACTAGTATGCAAATCACTAACTAAATAAACATTGGAAGCTTACAGGGTAATTATGTGAGTACACATATTGACACGAACCTCAGACCAGTGATCTAAGGACGAACACATCTATAATCAAATTACGTTTATTATATATAATAACATATTCTTTACATTAAAAGAATGTATATTATAATTTGGAAACACAAAGATTATTGATTTGTTTGCCGTAATACATTTATTACATCTGTAACGCTACTGGCAGTTCTCCGAAAGAATGAAATTTTAAATGGTGGCAAAACTTTAACCAAGTGGTTGGGGGGGGGGGAATACGGTTTCAAAAATAGTTTGTATATCGGCAGGGTTAAAGCATAGATCTTCACCAGGGTATAATGTGGGTAGCGATTATTTGTTAGCATGTTTAAATATATGTTTTCTTGATAGTGCATCCGCATAAAACAGGAAATCATTTGTTAACAACAACTGTATTGGCAGTACTAGTGTCGGGAGCAGTATTCAGTCGATGCAATACGCGGATCCACATAAATATAAAGGTACAGAGAACTGTCATATTCAAATTGCAGCCAACACGTTAATATGAAACATTATTTTTACGATAAATCACGCGATATGTTATCCACATCGCATATCTAATAAAGGCTATATACGTACAATATGATCGAGTGTTATTACACTCGGCACAATTTGGTCACACCGGATTATGGAGCGCCCTCTGAAGGTTACATTGAAAAGCACAAAGACAGGGCATGGCATTGCATATAAACAAGCCTGACATGTAAGCGTGAGTGACGCCTTCGCCGGCCGATCGGCATCGAGACATCAGACCCACTGTGTTGGGTTTGGAGCACCGCGGAGGGCGCAACTCACGCGACCTTGTCAGGCTACATATCAACGTATTTAAAAAAAAATGGAAATGCTGATCACCAGCTTTCATTCAAGTTCAAATATTTGATACCGGTAGTTATTGACATTGTCTGTACCCACAATGCGCCTTCACGTGACACCAACATTTTCGTATGTTTCTGTCAAAATTTAACATGTACACGCGACATGTACTCGTAAACCAGCAAATCCCTGAGTAATTCCTTATCTCGTCATAAGCCCACCTGTACTTTTGGCCATTTTCCGGATTTTTTTTTTTTTTTTTTTTTTTGAATTTTAATCAAGACTGTTTGATTCAGCACTGTGTCGACAATGCCGAAAACTCGTAAAAATGTGACGAAAAGTTTCGAATTTCGCAGAAAAAGGTTTATAAACAGTAGTTTATATTTAGCTTGACAAGGGATTCCCCCGGTATGCCAACAATATTTCCAAATCAGCGAAATTTTCATTTCATACGTTTGTATGTCTAAAATATTGAACATATCCCGGCATCATTTACTCTAGACTGGAAGTTTTTTATTTATTATAATTTATCTGAAAAAATCACCAAAGCTGGGCCAGTCTGGCTTTACTCGCAAAATCGTATGAAGACAAGTATTGATCTAACGTTTTATACACTTACTATATACCCTTCTCCATTCTCCTTCCGATCCTTGCAGCCAGAGCATCGAAAGTACATGTAGAAATATAACTTTGCCTGGGAGATTGACCCCTCCCGTAACAAATAGATTCGTCCAGTCTCACCAAAACCTTGCAATCAACAAAATCGCGCGATATTTGGCCGCCATTTTTTATGCTTACTGTGCAGTGTGTTTTTCACACATGTGTACGTCGTTTGTATATACAGTTATTTTATTATAGTTTGTCGTATTATCACTGTCCCAATACCAAACAATACCGGTATGGATGATGACGCAGAGACTTACAAGCTTTGGAGAATCCGTAAAACAATTATGCAGGTAAGTTACTTACCGTGAAATTATAAACTTTCGATTATCGATGAATTCATAAATTGTAAACACTGTGGTAATACCGGGTATAAGGGGTGGATCGTTAGGAACTGTGGGTGCAGGGCCATGGCAGACAAAAACTGTGCAAAATATGGTTTTCCTTCACTTAGTTTTGTGCTAGATTGTTTTGTTTTTGTTTTGTTTTTTGCACTATATGAAATATTCTTCCCATAAGTAAAATTTAGCGCTCATTTGTTTCTGTTATTGATCCCTGCAGAATGTTTTCTAGGATGATGACATCACCCACAATAGTTTGTAATGGTGATGAACTGACAAAATTACCTTTCACATTACTTTGTTAAAATTACCAAACTGTATGCTGATGCAAGAGTAGTGTAATAATGTTATTACCATACCATCTATAAAATCTTCCTCTTTGTCACTGAGAAATGAAATTTCATCTCAAACCACCTTGATCTTAAATCTGTAAAAAAAAATCTCAGAGTAACTTTAGTGAAAAATGACTATAGAACACTGCCGATAATAAAATGTGGCTATAGTATAATAATTTATACATGAAGACATTTAATGGGATAAACAGATAAGCAAAGACTGAAATGGAGACATTTACTGTGGTGTTGAAATAATTTTGCAAGACTGCATGTTATTTAGGTATCATAACAAATCCCAGAATTCACAGCTAGGGGATGCAGCTGAGATTGAAAACAAATCTTTATTGCCTGTGCATGTTGCACTATTTCATTATGCAATAACATCTATTTGATTTTGTTTATTTAAGCTTTGTCATGACAGAGGATATCTAGTAACGCAAGAAGAATTGGATCAGACGTTGGATCAATTTAAATCACAGTTTGGTGACAAACCAAGGTCTGTAGTTAAAGCATAGTTTTATGGTTAAAGTAGCATATGCTGCAACTTGCAAACAAATTTATTTTGCTTGTTTTGTTTATTATTAGGTTTCATAACATAATGTCAGTTGGTGTGATTCAATGTGCATTATACTAATTGCCCTGCATTATTCAATAAAAACCATACTTCTGTTTCCTTGCCTCTGTGGTTCAATTGTTTTTGGGGTGACCCACAGACCCATGGGGGACAGATGTATGTTGTTACCCAAATAAAATCAGACGTTACAACTCACCACATCCAGATCCTGCTAACGTCTTTTCTTCTCTACTAGGAGCACATTTTCAAAGAAGTGCATGTAATCCAACTTAATATTGGAGCATTAAAAAACAACTAGTTTGACAATAAAAATTCATCTAGGATTTACTTTATTTCTAATTTTTCTTGAACACAAACACTTTACTGTGTTTCAGGAGAACAATGTTTTTAGCTTGCCAGCCATTTTTGAAAGACAGGGCCTGATGACCTCTTTCATGTGCAGCTCAGTAATTATTAAGCCTATTGCACACTGTTCCCAAAGTGATGTCATTACATAACCCCATGTGACCACGAGTTGACCAATCGCATAACAGAATCTGGATGGTGTGTGTTATAAATAGACAGTGCTCGTACTTTACAATTGTTGTATGGTGACTACAACAAATATGGATGAAAATAGCTACTGTACTTGATGGGTATCAAACTATTTGTCAAAACCAAATATCAGTATGGAATGATATTAATTAAAAATGAAAAAAAAAAACTCCGGTCAGTCTTATTATCCGACATATTATGTAAAGTCCTTTATTGTAATGGAGTGAGGAATG